TATGTATGACCAAGCAGTGAATATCAACCTATACCAAACAAGTCTACATTAGGGTCTTGAATGTTTTAGTTTTTAAATGGATAGAATTCTAGCCAAAACATATGCATAAAATATGTGTGGCTGTACTACTTTCAAAGAGGAACCAACAGTGAGAATGCAAAAAAATCAAAATAGTTCAAAACTGCATAATTAGTGTACAGAATGGTCATGCATAATTTCAATCACATTATTTTAAAGATGTTGCTTGAAGTGGCATCGGTGTAAAGCAGCTATGCCTTCTCTGGTATCAAAAATCTTTTACATTCCTGCACAACTCAAAGCACACTTGGGAGAGCAAATCCAATGTACTGCAAAGCCCTATCTCTGTATGTCATGTGCAGGTCAATATGATGATCATCTGCATGCCATTACAGAATATTATAATAATAATAATAATAATAATAATAATAATAATAATAATAATAATAATAATAATAATAATAACAACAACAACAATAATAATAATAATAACAACAACAACAACAACAATAATAATAATAGCAAGAAATACCATTTGCCTGCAAGCTAGAACTGAGACCACAAAATAGAAAAGTAATTAAAAAAATAGAGAAGTTAAAGTGCTCTAAAGAACTTTAGAATTCAAACAGATAAGCATTTGCCACGTAAGATCCGAGACTTAACAATTATAAGAAAGACAAAAAAACATGGGCAGTGGATATTGCAGTACCTGGAAACCATAGCAGAGAATACAAATTATGAAGACTTACAACTAGAATGAGAAAGATTGTGGCAAAAAAAACAAAGATAGTACCAATAGTAATAGTACCAATAGTAATAGTACCAATAGTAATAGTAAACCCAAAACACCTGGAGCACTACTTGGCATTGACAATTAAATTGACAATTGACAATTTAAAATGAACACCTTACATCCTGGAATAATGTCTTTAACACCATCACACAACATATTGCTTTTTTGTATCCACTATACGAACTGGAAATTCAATTACTCTAGTCTATATTGTCAATTCTCTGAGTTTACTGTGTACAAATGCATATATTTAAAAAGAGGGAGTATCTCAAATTTGGATGGGAATGGGACAACCAAATCTAGAAATTAAAATATATTAAGCCATACTAATAAATTGCCAAACATGAGAAACTGAGAGGAATAAAAATGGCTAGATTTGCTCATCTCTAATGGCAAGAGGAGATGCAGGTTTTGCTCGTCTCATATTTCAGAAGCTAAATAAACAGATACCTCTGTTTTCTGCTTTATATAAACTAGTGATCACATATTCACACACCCTTTCTGATTGCTTCGCCCTTACAGTTCTTTTTCCCTCCTGCAAATCAAACATAAGTGGTTTTCTCAGCACATATATCCATTCTTGCTTTACAAAAGCTGATTTATCCTGTGCAGCCCTTCCTGTTTTCCTATTTTTCTGCTTCCACCCATGCATTCTAGATAAAAGGAAAGGGGAGGAAGAATGGATAATTAATATGTTATTTTTATCCCTTAAAAATGTCATTTGAAAAACGGAGTGAAGGTGAAGTACAGGAAATGAGTGTTATTCATGGGAAACAGACTTTGCAAATTCAGTCCACCATAACAATGCACATTTCAAAAGCTTCACTAAAACAGGCTTCCCATTGCTACTATGGAATCCTTCCCCTTCCCCCATCCAATCTTATTATTTAACATACATAGAAAGGGCCTAAAAAGAACCATTCCAACCCCTGCTCTAATGCTAGTCAGTTTCAGATGAAATTATGTTTATATCCCACATTAAATACCAAATGATTTCTAAACTGCTGTTAATGAACAACTGGGGGGGAACAAAGTGAACTTATAATTAAAAGAATTTACACATACAAAACTATTGGCTAAATTCCCATCTCAAAGAATATTAAAATTCTAATGAAATAAATCCAGAGCTTGAGGCAAGCATTTTAAATCCTGAATTGATAAACATTTTGCAGCCAAGAGCCTCACATTTTTATTTCTTCATTTATTTTGATCTCTGGGGGATAAAAGCATGACAGCCACATAGTGACTTCATTGGAGGATTAGAATCAATATTTTAAATCCTTCGTTGGCTTAGGGATAGGGTCCCTTCCTCCAAATATTTAGTACATTTATCACTTTTTATTTCTATAAAAGAAGTTGTTGTCCTAATTTGTTGGAAAAATCTGGGGCTAAGCTCAGACAAAAAACACATGCAGGGCTACACATGCAGCCAGGAAATCCTGAGTTGCCCACTCTTACTTTAGAAATCCTCTAGTCTAGTCTTCTCATTGGGTATCACTCACACTTGTCAGCCATGCTATAAGAAAGTCAAGAAATCTGTTGTTTGAGAGTCCCTGGAACTAAGAAGAAATGGTGCTTTTATTGCATTGATGGAAACAGTAAAAGGGGAAGTCTATCATATCCTAAACATCTTCAACCTTTCAATATGTAAAATACATCTTTTTTATCCTATGGAAGCCTGTCCTAGGTTTTATCTTCTAAATTGCTGAGCAGCAATGGTATCTTACATGACTGTAGCCAGTGGTGGGATTCAGATATGTGAACAACCGGTTCTCTGTGTGGATGCTGCTTCCAGAAGTCAATTCTGGGCCTGGGCAACAAAAAATTAGCTACCGGTTCTGCCGGCTGAATACCACACTGACTGTAGCCAACAATGGAGCCATAAAGTCCTTACCCAGGCTTTGAGAACCTGGTGGGTAATGCAAAGTTAGCAGCAAATGTTTTGGAGTGACTAGTTTGGAGATAAATACCACATTGATGAAATACCAGTAATTTCTGCTTTTGCGGGTTTCTGTCTCCATAGCAACTTAGTGCCTTGCCTACACTTTCTAATATTAGAACTGCAAATTTGGTATATTCTGGCACACAGTTATAGTTTTTTGGAGGATAATGGCTTTCAGAGCACTCCCATCTGTTTTTTATTGAAGTGCCAGAAAGATTCCCCAAACTGACTTTTGCTTTATTGGTTTAATGGTTCATTATATACAGATCTCATTTAAACATGATTTGGAAATTGCAATAGAATCCAAAAGTA